ACATTTCTTTGTAACCACGTGATTATAAAGCATTTGGTTTTTCTCGCCTTTTATAATATATATATATATATGTCACTGAAAATTGAAATACTCTATGTAATCATGATAGATCGATATACGAACAAGGTAAAGGAACATATCCAAGAATGTCGCACTAAAATGTTTGGAACTATATTATAAATTATCAAAATACTAGCAAAAACTAAAAGTGTGTAATTACTTTCTTCTTGAAATAAAATAGATAATTTTCTCAACTGTAGGTTACTTTAAAAATAAGTTTTTGATAAAAATAGTGTGCTGAAGACTAGTTTTTCTAGGCTTCACAATAATAACGATTTAACTTTAATGACCCAATACAAGTTTCCAGCCGACATGATGAGCTCTGGTATTGAGCAGAAACCCTCACTGGCAATGCTGCAGAGCAAAAAAGTGCAATTGAAATGTTATTATGCACTCTTGCTAGTTGAAATCCGTAATGGGCCAGTTAAGAATATCGCAATTAAAATGATCTAATATATAAAGCTTTCAACCACCTGTTCCTTATACGTTTCCACATCTCTTGATCAACCAGCACCCAACGTGACACAGTGATACAGGATGACGTGAGGAAGGTCAGGAGAGGGGGTTTGAACATCCATCTAATTTCGGAAAATCTATCAAACCAACACAACTTGACACAGTGATACAGGATGACATGAGAGGGGGTTGGACCTCCCCATCTAATTTTGATAGAATTCTTGAAAATAGTATGTCTTTTTTTTTCATTATTTCTACCTTTATATATTTCTATTACAATTTTAATGTTTATTATGTTAAGAAAACAATAGTAGCACAATTTCCTATCCTTTGTTACAAATGAGTTTCTATTTCACCCGTCCAACGGACGGTTACTTCATCTACTTTCTTATGATAATGCTTCGTCATACCTTCTACATTGAAATTGATAACGTTTCGTCAAGGTTTAGGTTTTCACACCATTAGTATATCTTAAAAATATCCTAAAAGATGTGCTCAGAACCAGAGAAAACTTGCGAAAAGGAGACGAACAAATAAATGAACAGGTTATTGAATTTTGGGGTTTTACTAAAATAAAGCATCATATAACACATTCTCAGAAACACTTTTACACGTTATGATGCCAAGGCCGCACGACCATAATATAAAAATTGAGAATAACATCGTAATTTATGTTTACACCATAGCGAAATAGATGTTCTTCGCTATAGTGCAAGTGCTTAAGCTTTTTTGACTGTGTAGAAGCGATATATTTACTACTTACCAAAGTTATTACCTGACTTTATTTTCTGTAATCAACTTTATCTGTTGCTAGATTTTCTCTTCTGGTATGTTTGTTATCTCTTCCCGCGGTGTAACAGTTGGGCGGATTCTTGTACTTAATGTTTTTCTTGCTTTTTCAATGATTGAGCACGTGTAAGCAATGCAGTGTTTCCCGGAATTTATGGAAGTATTTCATCATTGAGGAAAGGAACGAAATGGAAGAGAAGATATTATTTAGGTCTGAAATATTCACGCCACACTCATATCACGACCCGTAAATATTCACATAAGGTCTTATGAAGAACTGAGTCATAGTTTATTCATAATGGCTATATCTTTAATTATTGATATGTTGTTTTATGAGCGTTTGCTTTCATTTACCTGTCTGATTCACAGAAGATTTACCTTCGCATTGCCCGAAACGTTTTTAGGCATTTGGTATTTTCATCTTGACAAGCATCATACGTGACAAATAAGCTTTAATGGCTACGTCAGACTCCGCTGTTTAAACATCTCATCTATAAATGCTAATCAGACGAACAGCAACCACACATTAGAGCCTCTCATCTGTGAGGTTACTTTTAATCTAGTAGCGGGATTGTCACAATTATAACACTCGCACAATGGAACATGAGGTCAGTATTCGAAGGCAAATTGTTGCTCGAAACTTGGACCTTTCAGTCCGCAGACCGGCACGCTAACATATAAGTAACGTTAACTATCATTTACGATTATTGATATTCTACTAAGAATGGTAACATATAGAATGGGATATTCATCTATCATCTGAACATCTGAGAAATAATCACATTAACTTCCACCTAACAGTTTCCAGGGTCAAGTTAACATAGGACTAATGGCAGCATATGTGGATATTTTAAATACTTTTGTTTGTAGTTATGATTTGAACATCTCAAAACTAGTTTTGTTTGTTTGACTGCTTTAAAATGTTTGTATAAAGCTTCATGAGAGCTATCTGAAAAACTAGATGGAAGACAGCTAGTCAAAAGCATCCACTGCCAGCTCTTCTGCTGCTATTACTGATCGAATGTTGAGATTTGACCATCATTTTCATAGTACATTTACAGTTTCAAACTGAAGAGTGCGTTTTTGTGCACCAGGACATTAACCATGAATCTTTCGATTCATAGTCCGCTTACCACTAGGCAACTCCAGTTTCAAAATTCGTTATGCAAAAACTGACTTATAGCAATAAATGCACTTCTAAGATTGGCGAAGAGCTATGAATTGGGTTACATATTAATCAGGTTATTGTGTTATCTCTCAAACTAGTGACTTTAATTAACATTATGATACTTGATATTCTACTGAATATAAGATGATGTAGTTTTGACTCATCTGTTACGAATTGCATAATGGACTAGCTGTGCTGTAATCATTGTAAGAGTGGAACCCTGAATTTTAATGCTATAACACTCAAGCTTCCCCGCTAAGCCACTAGAAGGCAGTATATATATATATATATCTTTCTGACGGCTTGGTATCACAAGTTGTAGTGCAGAACTGGTTGAATCAATTTAAATTAAGTTTAGTAAACAAACGTGATTTGGACTTCCAAATATCGAATTTAAATGGATAAGCAAACAGACGAAAGCTTATAATTCAGTAGCTATTTGCTAGCCATTTCAATTTTTACTGTGTGAAATCGACGTGAAACAAAATTGACGTTTAATGATACTGGCAATATGGGTGCTCGTACGCTACGGTCATTTCAATTATCATCCTTCCTACTAACTTAATGCTTACTTCATGAACTTTGATCGTCCATATTCTGTAAACCTGTATATCGAATGACGCACATGCATGACGTATCGCTACTCAGGAACTGCCTGTACTTGCCGTCCCTAAGTTTGAAGTGATAGACTAGAGGGAAGGGAGCTAGTCAACATCACCCACCGCCAACTCTTGAACTACTCTTTACCAACGAATAGTGGGATTGACCATCACATTATACCGTCGCTATGGCTGAAAAGCGAACATGTTCTATGAGGGGATCCGATTCCGTGGCACGCAGATTGAAGTTGGGCGCTTTACCCACCAAGTCATGCCAGGTATACTTGTGAAGTCAACGAAATAAATGCAGAGCGTATTGCTATTACTTTTGCTAGTTATAATTCAACTTACGTTCATTAAAAGCCCTTTGATGTCATTAAAACATATCCAATCAATAACTATCTGTGTACTAGCGTGATATTATCTCTGGGTGATGTAATGACAACCTAGTATTTCAAAATCAAGTAACTAAAATCGTTACTAATGGGCGTTACATGATCGGAGTGTTTCTGCAGCTTAAAACGCAAAACTGATAAAACACAGAACAATGTATTGAAACCCCATACATGAGAAAATACGATGTATTCCCTCCTAAAACATCACACAGTTATGTGTTTTCTTATCGCCATATATACATAAAAAACCTGCTTGTGTCACCCGGTTAGTCAGCGGTAAGTTTAGGGACTTTCAACGCTAAAATACAGGGTTCGATTCTCGCGGTGGATAGATCCCAGATAGCCTAATGTGTAGTTTTGCGGAAAGAAAAATAACACCCTGCTGGTAAAATAGTTTACATTCAAAATAAGCATAATTTTTACTTCATAGGTTGTGAGATATCAAGATATTTAAGAGTTTTCAAAGTTGTCAATTAGAAGTAAGATAAAATTCAGAGTGTTCCTAGATTGTGATGTAGTGTCATATTTACCAAAACTATGTGTGGTAACAGTGCTGTTCTTTACTCACCACAAGTAACCTGTGTTAATAATATACATAGATGTTAAAATATATAACAATATTGTTACCAGTTGGCTCTTTCATGTAGTTTAGCGAATTCAACATTTAAAAAACTATATTTTTTTACCCTCAAACTTTTATAGGATTCTTGAAAACTGTATATCTTAGTGATATGAGGTAAATCCAATAATATCCTGAGTCATACACTTTTTACTCAAGAAAAACAATAACAGAATTTAGGATAAAAATTTCACAAATAATTGAATATCCCACAAGGTTACATGATAACTATTGAAACCAGGCAAAGTGAGGATCAGTATTTAGTTTTTCAAAAAAACTGAAATGTCATCTAGTAACCAGGGTTTTCAAATTACACAACAAAAACAAGCCTTATTGGTTCTCAAAATAAGACTTAAACAAGCCACTTCTTACCCAAACAACCTTAAGCAATGTCATTATGTTAAAAAGCTATAGTATCACAAAATAGAAGCCAATAAATATTAAAGCGACTGTAAAGAAAAAGAAGCTCAAATCCGCGAGAAGTACGCGGACTCGGCAACACTGCTAGTAACTCAGATCGACAGTAATTTTTACTTTGTGATACTTTTCAGGATGACTACATAATATCTTTATAACACTTGGTGTCCAAGTCGAACATAATACTATTCGCTTTTTCTTATAAACAACACAGATTACTTAAAGGTAACTAGTTTCCTATTTTGACCACCGTTATTTTTTCTTGTTGTTATTCACTTCAAACCTTAACCAATAAGTGAATCAATACTCAAAAACAGTAACTCAAACAGTAACATTATAATATGAGAACAGGAAATCAAGTTTACTAAACTAGGACATGCTCTTATTGATTTATGGGAAATTTTTTCTGTAGTACAGGAATATTACTAAAAATAAAAAACATTATATATTATACATTTGATAACTACCAGATTACTAAATGATCAGTTGACTCTTACCTATGAATGATACATTAAGCAAATAATCTCGATAGAATGTGCCGCCGTCTATTTCCCTCATTTCTACACAGTAACCTTTTCCATAAGGGGCACATAAGTCTTCCCAAACTCTATGAAGGGCGTAGGCAATTGCGTATACAGCATCTACAACAAACTGTACTTTAGACTCCTGCTTATAGCCGACACTTTCGTCTAGTCTGAGATTTGGTGAACATACAAGAAGAGTGGCGTTGATATCATTATTGACATTATGAGGGAGATTACAAGAGAACACGTCTTCCCAGTACTCTTCAAACCAAGGATTTCTTTGGTTGTTATAAGCGGTCAAATTTTGCATATACCAATCAAATTCGTCTATTTCTTTGGACTGTAACTCGACTGTGATGGCACCTTCAGCGACGTCTTCAATTCCTTCAACTAACTTATCCTGAGTTCCCCAGCCATCACTAGCTACCCAAGCAAACGTTCCAACAGAATTGGCTCGTTTGGCTGCTTCTAAAATACCTCGCGAGTCCTCTGCCCTGGTAAAAAGAACTACACATCTAGCATTAGATTTGGTTAATAAGTTCTTAAAAATATCATCAAATTTATCTTTAGAAGCCGAATGAGGGACCTTGTCATTCACAGCAATACATATGTTTCTTGCACGTGCTTCTTGCTGGAAAGCTTTCATCCCTGAGTCACCGTATTGACCTTCAGAGGACACAAGTGAGACATAAGACCAGTTGAAGCTTTGTACGAGGTCCACAAGCGCTAAAGCTTGGAAGGTATCTGGAGGAACAGTCCGAGCAAAGAAGTCGTAACGACTTTTGTCACTGAGCGAGGTGCCTGTGGATGCTGGACTGACTTGTGGTATTCGGAATAGTCTCAAAAGGTTCGCGACTTGCAGAGAAACCTCACTATAGGAACCACCCACAACTCCACTGATGGCCTTGTTACTGAATTTTAGTTTGGGATGACTACGATCTTGGCACTCAAAAGCTGAAGAGTCTACAGTATTAATGGACGCCCTGATGAACTCCAAGGACTGATTGAGGGCATAGCTGTCACTAGAACATGTGTCAAGGATGATAGCTCCAAGTTTTATGTTTCCCAAGATGGTTGGATCTTGATTTATTTTATCGATGGCGAACAACATGGCTTCTGTTCTTTGGATCCCACGATCCTTATTTATAAGTCCACATTTACTTTTTGTATTTTTTTTGTGAATAGGAAAAAGCCCTCCTAGTATGATGTCTCCTGAGATGTGAGCTTTCATACCACCGGCACAAATGTCATAAATAGCCAACCACAAAAATGCACTGGCGAGCAGTGCTCTCAAAATTAAGCAAATCACACTCATTATGTAGATGTGAAGTCTACACGTAGCAATAAAATTTCCTCGGTTTCTAAGTTCTTCAGTTTCGAAAAACGTCGGTTTTCTAGGTTAGATTGTCTTATTGTCGTCTTCTATTGTCTATGTTTACTTACAGCACACGTTTTGAAACAATTTAGTTAACTGTTATAATTATGGACTTGGTATTGTATGATTTTCTGTAAATTGTAGAAGAATTTCTCTTGCAGAAAACTATAGTTTCTAACAATGTGAATAAGAAGCAAACAAACGGTTATTCAAATGTTATTGTCTTTTACGCAGTATTCAGACTTTAGGCTTCCGCAGGATACCGAGTCAACCAACATATTACTCACGGATACAATAGAGTGACGCCGCTATCCAACTTAACTTGTAGTTCATTACTCAATGCTGCGAGATAGAAATGAAAGATGTGAAACTTTACGGGTAAAGCCTACATATCCTCTTGAGTCCAGTATAAAGGGTGTACTTGAAATGCTTGTCGTTTCTATGGCCACAGACAACCTCATGCTTGGCCCGAATCCTTGAATAGGCAAGGTCTAGTCGAGTAGAAATGCTTAATTACTGTCTTTGTAGGTAAGAAAAGAATGCCACTTCTAATACTTGAAGACGAGTATAGAAAGTCTTGATGCTCTCCGTCTTTTCCAAAAGCCTAGAGGGATCTAATAAGGAATACAAAATTAGTAAAACTCTGATGCATTACTAAAGAAACAATGAGTACCACGCTTATAAAAGTTAAGTTTCAGGCTATATTATTGACGAAAGGAACTTAATTAGGAACTAATAAAAGAACAACCCACAAAAGCAAAAAGGTTTCACATATTCAACATTCTTTTTCTCACGGCTTCTCTATTTTTTTCAAATACTCATTTCAAAGAAAATGACATACTGTACAAATAACGAATGTATCATCGTAACTGTTGCATAAGTTAGTGTTAAATAATTCAGAGAAACTATGCAAATTATACTTTTATAATAAAGTAATGTACATCTATCTGTGAACAAGCTTCTTCGCTTTAATTATTACAAGATCTGAAAAGTAATGCATCAAACTTAAACACTTTTATTTGGTTACAATAACTTCTGCCATTGCTGCAATAAAGGTTAGGCGTGACCTGGTGGTTAAGGCACTCGACTTGGGAGTTGCAGGTAGCGGAATCAAATCCGTCATCAAACATGCTCGCTCCTTTCAGTCATGGGGTTGTTGTAATATAAAAAGTTGTTGGTAAAAAGTAACCTACCAGTTGGTTGTGGGTGGTGTTGACTAGTTGACTTCCCTCTAATCTATTTTTCAAAAATTAGGGACGAATAGCGCGTAACTCCAGAACAAAATATTTTAGCCATATTTGTCAATAACTGGTCAAATGTAACATACAAAATTTGTCAGTCATTAAATGATAATTTACAGACTTCAACTCTAATTATTTTATAGGATGAATGTATAAAGCTTGTTATATTGAATAGATGTAAGTTTAAAACTATTGTTTTATTTCTTAGGATTTATCACCTTTTATTAGCGGATTAAAAATGAATGTCGTTTCCAGAACTTTTTACCTTGCAGAAATAAACCACGACAACTTCTAGATTTTGACGTTTTTATTAAAGATACTCGCTCATCGGAATTTTTGAAAATACACAAAAATTATCTTAATTTATTTAAAACAGGCTTCTTAAACAGTTAAAAAATACAATTTCCTATTTAGTTTCACCTTATCTAAAAGTCTTCTTCTGACAAGTTTCTCCTTCCATCAAAAAATAATTGCACATCAAAGTAAAAGAATACTGAATCTCCATTCAATAAGAAAATGCTACTTAGTGGTTCAGAAGTAAGGCTTAGCGCTAAAGATCGGGTTTCAATACCTATGGTGGACGCAGCACATATAGCCCACTGTATAGCTTTGTGCTTAAGAACAAAACAAAACAAACCATTAAAAAAATCAGATACTAGGTTAGAGTCATTGTTAATCAAATAAATGTTTCTCGGAACTCTTGAAGTGTTTTTACACCAGAAGTCAATAGGAAAGATAGTGATATTGATATGATAAGATACAGGATCTCCATTGATGTCAATTATTAGGAAAGATAGTGATATCAATATGATAAGATACAGAATCTCCATTGATGTCAATCATAGGAAAGATAGTGATATTAATATGATAAGATACAGGATCTCTACTGATGTCAATCAATAGGAAAAATCGTGATCTTTATATGATAAGATACAGGATGTCCATTGATGCCAACCGATAGAAAAGATAGTGACCTTGATATGATAAGATACAGGATCCCAATGATGCCAGTTAAAATGTCGTGACGATATTCAAGAAAGCACGAGCTTACTGTACGATTAGTTCTTACGGAAAGCAGAATCGGTCATTATTCACTATTGCAGGACTTCCTTTTTAATCGTGGGTAACAGTATCGTTAAGAATAACCCTATTCATTATTAAACCATTGCAAATATGTTACTGTTATATAAAATGTTCAGTTCTGACTGAAGGATAGAAGCCATTATTTAATGAAGACGACAAACAACTTCAGAAGAATGTTTAATTACTTGTACCCAACGTTTAGTCTTACGCCTTTATCAAGGGTCTATGAACGTCACAGGTTACCAAACTAATAAGGCTAATTTGTTTCATTTTGCACGTGGTATACATTATGTATATATTTTCCAATTTGTTTTTGTTACTAATAACAAAGTTTCAGATGATCTTTCGTTTATCGTTTCTTTTCCGAACAATTGCAAAACCCACATATTAATGGTAAACGTTTCTAAACATACGCCTATTCAATGAACGTTTACATCTATAACACAATAAGTAATTTCCTTAACAATAAGTCTTTAACCACAGACTTATGGAAAACATGCCCTTATTTCTCTTAATATTGAGCTCCCTATATGCAACTTGAACGTTCGACTCCTTAATCAAGCCTTCCATAAACCAGTTCATTTAATCCTCTAAGGTGTATAAAACTTAGAACAATTCTGTACTTGATAAGGCTCTAGATCTGTCTGGTGACTGGTAAAGAACATGTTTGTAGGATTATGTTCCCTCTGGCGCTTTCTGTCGACTAATACTCAGTGCGAGCTGCGTGAAACATATTAAACATTTAGATCTACGAATTGGTAAATATATTGTTTGTGCTTTCGTAGGGGAAAAAAATCAACTTTCACTATTAGCCATTAACCTAAGGCTGTTTGCCATTATCAACGGGAAAAATAAAGCTAATTTCCTTAATTGGATAAAGTGTCCTGAATTCTTTCTTCTTAGTATTTCTATCAAAATATGGCTAGTGAAGTAGTTTGTTCCTAGACATCTAACGCTGATAATGATGTTAACTTTATTCTGTGACCTGAAAGTTAAAAATACATAAACTTTTTTATGGGTTGGTATAAATAAATTATCCTAATCAACATTTACTGTGCAAATCGTCAAAAAAATCATTATTCATGACTAAAGTAAACTGTCGCCTTCTATATTATTTACCCAGTCCTGTGAATTTTATATTCATACTATAAAGACAAAGGGTGCAAGACTTTTCCTACCATAAGGTTCATTTTGATTAGTAGCAGTAGTCATGCTGGAAGTGGCTCATTGGTAAGTCTAAAGGGTTATAACTTTAAAAACTGGGTTTAGATTCTCGTGGCGGGTACAGCATAAATAATCCATTGTGTAGCTTTGTGCTTAACATCAAGCAAACAAAAGTATCAGTAAAAACTGGTTATTTTAAGAAACAAAATTAACATGTGAGTCAACGGATTGATTTGTATAAATGTTTAATTAATTAATTTTGTTACATAAATTTCCTCTAGGCTGTATGGTTAACAGTTATACAGTGTACATCAGGTGGCCCTGGTTGTTAACTAATGTGATGCCAAATTCCACCGTACAATGAAATTTAATGCTTCAGAGTTTCACGCTTTCTATACTAGGAGGTTGAGTATCTTCTTAGAGTAAGGATCAAAATTGTTTTTCATAACTTTCTGTTAAACATTCACAGTTTAAACTATCATACCCTAAGACTTCTAGACTATTCTATTATAGCCATGCATTGATTCATGCTTAGAGTAGGGTGTTTATCATGTAATTTACACTGATAGTGTCATTTATGTTGATCTTGCACATCAGCAGTCCAATAGCTAGAGTCAGTTTCTGCCAAATATTACACTTAAGCAAAGACTCACTGTTATATATATATATATTATAAGATGTTATATGGCCTGGCATGACGAGGTGGTTAGGGCGCTTGACTCGCAACTCGCGAATCCCCGTCCCACCAAACATGCTAGCCCTTTCAGCCATGGGGGTTTTATAAAGTGACGGTCAATTCTATTATTCGTTCTTAAAAGAGTAACCCAAGAGTTCGCGGTGGGTGGTGATGACTAGCCTTCCCTCTAGTCTTTCGCTACTAAATTAATGGAGAAGGCTAGCGCAGATAGCCCTTGTGTAGCTTTGCGCGAAATTCATAACAAATCAAAGTAATGTGTATTTGTTAGATTTGTTTTCATATTCAAAAGCCAAATTGTACAAGATCTATTCTTCTGTATCCTTGTTCTTATAATTCGGCTACGATAAAGTATATTTTTGGGTTCATTAATGATTTATTCAACATATATCTGAAAGTCAAAATCATTAAACGTTTTTACGAGCCATCACTAATACATAAATACCGGGATTTTAAGATCATTGGTTTCATCAGTGGGTGATTTCAAATTCGGTTTCTGTGCTAGTTTTTCCTTATCTGTTTCGTTCTTTTCTTTTTTTCATTTCCTTATCATCGTCTGCTTCTGAGTTTTCATTTCGGTCTTCCTTCATTTTAACTTATTATTCACTTTTTTGTAGTTTTTTTAGTCATTTCGTCTACGGATTATTAGGCTTTTATTTGAAAAACTATTGGTTAATGTTATGTGTTTGTGAGTGTGTACTGTGATTCTTCTTTTTAGTTCATACTGAATATAATATCCAGTTGCACATAAAACGAATCATAGTTCAATGAAACGAAGTGTTTCTGCGAGTAAATATTCTAACAGGAAGTGTTTCTGCGAGTAAATATTCTAACAGGAAGTGTTTGTGCGAGTAAATATTCTAACAGGAAGTGTTTGTGCGAGTAACTATTCTAACAGGAAGTGTTTCTGCGAGTAAATATTCTAACAGGAAGTGTTTTTGCGAGTAAATATTCTAACAGGAAGTGTTTCTACCACAATTCTGTTTATACGTAGGTATGGCCTTCTTGAAAAATGTCGATCATTAGAGCCTAAAATTTCAGAAAATTTTATCACTTGGACTGGTAGTGTATCATGTCGCGATTAAAATATAGCGTTTCTAAGAGACAAATCTAGCACCAAGACAATTCTCTGAATCTTAATTCAAAATATTTGCTGTAGAAACCTTAAATGGTGTGAGAATGCTTCTCTTCCCGTTGAAGGCTGTATAGACTTAACTTTATGTCAGATAAGGCTCTTGGAATTCGTATTGTTTTCATGTTCATGGGTTGGGTAACACTTTTTTACGTTGGGCTTCTAGTTAAAAAACTCTTACATGAACGTTTTTGTGCGTGGAATCTGGTTTCGTATTCAGCAGGATGATCCTCACTCATAAAACCCAAACTTGGCTGCACTATCTGCAACAGTCAAAGCTTCTTTCTTCCGGTTTTTGGT